AATTCTTGTTCTTTTCTTCTGAGTGAGAATATGTTCCAATTTCCGGCTTTAAGCTCCCACTGGTGGTGTCGTTCTCGTGGAGCCCTTTCTGAAGTGCTATAATGACATCGCGCTGTCTTCCTCCTCTGTTCAGAACGGGTAGCAACTCCGTTGCTGACTAATGCTGACTGTCTTTTCTAATTTTAGGTTTCTGATCTTCGACTCTAACCCAAGCCATGAACCAACCCGGATCCTAGAAGGCTTGTTTCCAAAACTGAGGCAACTACTCTTGGTTTGATCTCATTCATTCATAAGTTTATTGCCATAAGATGCAAAAAGCTGTTTGAAATCTGTTCAACTTTGACAGTAGCTGAGTATTCGCTACTTAGCTATAGACCACTGAACTATAAATGAAAATATGCATTTACTTCATTAAGCTCCGTAGTAAATCGAATTTCAACCTGTTGTGCATATCCTAAGTTTATTTCATTCTGCCAATAGCAATTGAACATGCGGATCAGCCTGTAACTTACCATACAATTGTTCAAGCATAAGATGATATGATTGCTTACGAAAATGGAATGATGTTCCTGCGCACTTGCCTTCAAATCATCTATGTTCCAGGTCGGTGTTATACTTCGAAAGTAGTGTTCTTAAATTAACAACAGAATTAGCATGATGCGCAGCGTATTTTCGTATACCAAATCGACTGTTAATTTATTATCGTTTCATTCTTTTTATGTGATAGTTTGAGTTATAAGGTGTCAGAAAGGGTGAAGTCCTAATTACCCGTTGACAGTTATGAATTTTAATCAAATTTTATGTTGCTATCTGTAATTAGTTTAAATTTCAAACAATCGTTTGCTCGTTAACATCTAATGCTCAGTTACTCAGTGCCAATGCTTAACGTATACGCAGATTGGAAAAATTCGAAGTTTGTATTGTTTTATTTTTTAATCCTGCGATCGGTCGATTGCTTCCGAACCAGACTCACAGATGTTGGAATTTTCATCTGTTGCTCTCACAGAACTGGATGGACCTCAACGGCTATGAGTAATCGAGTAATAAACTTTAGCCTCCATCAGTTTTTCGTAAATATTGTTTCTTTTTCATGTTCTCGTTGAAAAGAACGACAGAAGGTGACTCACACTTCTTCCCTTTTAGTTGTTGGTTGTATTACCTTTTGCTTTAACTCAAGGGAACGAGAATGTCAGCTTTTGATTATCATTATCTCGTTAACTAACTATTTCTAGTTCTGGATTCATGGCGAGCATTCTCGGTGATCTCAATGAATAGCTGAGTGAGTGAATGAACTTTTTCGTTTTCGTGCAAGTTTCTATTTTGGTATTTGTCTACTCTCCATGAAATATTGAAATTTCAGTTTCAGTGACTGTTCACTGGTTTTGGCGTGGAATACAACATAACTGCCGTCTTTTGCGCATGATTCCTTGACAGTTTTGTCGGTCATGACACTTTTCCATATTCCTATACGTTAATATTCATGCTAAGATGGAGCTAAACCAAATATTCATTATCCCAGTCTTAACCCATCTAAGCCTCCGCCGCTGCGACGTAGTTGGGCAGCATTTCTTAGCTACCCTCAATGTCAAATACTCCTTTTCGCATGTGTATGTATTTCTGAAATGTGATAATTATACATATACTTCCCGTTTTCTAGTTCTATAATTAATATTTACCGATGTTTTTTGTACATTGCGTGTATGCAAAAAAATACTTGAATAATTCCATTCAGAGTAAACTTTCTTAATATATGCCTTAGGTACGACTACGGTGTAATATTTTGGAGATTGGATTTATGATGTTGCTTACGGCCGGTAACTAAGCGCCCTTGGAACCTTACCATATCATTTTAGAGTTGAGTGCCTTAACCATATGTCAAAACAGGTCAGTGGAACCAACTAATGGACCAGAGTTGAATAAATCCTTAAGAAGTTTAATACCACACATGTTCCTCGTATAACAGTCGAGATCAGTATTCAATATTGTTCTGAAAATGTCATGTGCTGTTGTTGGCAGTTGTAGTCAAAGTTTGTCATCTGGCTCTTAATGACAATTTATTAAGAAAGAGACCATTTGAAAGCTGGAAAATATGTTTAAATGAAGCATCGGAACCCTCAACGGTGTTCATTCTTCAGTACAAATTAGCAGTTTATAGCGAAGATCGCAAACACTTATATTGGGAAATTAAGAGTTAACATTATTGTTTTTGCTTTGTATTAGGAAAGTGTCTTGTAATTCGGTGGTTGTAGGTTCGGGAAAAATTGAAAGACTTTATTCAAAAGCCAACATTTCGAACAGTTTCCGCATTGTCCGTCGCCAGAGCTGACAGTAAGACGAATTCGACATGATATTTGCGTTATACAGTATTTTGATTGTATTTTCAGCACGGTACGAACAAACTTCTTAACCTCGTTATTTTTCGCTGAACGATGGATGCTGCGAGGCTACACCACATGGTCTGTGCAGAGTCTAATGCTGATTCAGACTCTCCTGAAATCGCAGGTACGTCGAAAATTACTCAGTATGACTGACGACTGTTTTATGTAGAGAACGCTCTCACGTCGTCATCATCGAATGCCGGCTCCTCCGCGTACTTGATCAACGGCGACTTCGAAGATGGCGTTGAAACCTGCGTGAATAGAGAGGATATCAAAGGAAGCTTTTCAGCTGCTTCATCCACTGCTGAAATAAAGAAAATGTATAATATACATTTAATGGCTATTTAATGATGTCTCATTTACAGGTTTTTGTACAGACAGCCCCTTACTAACGTAAGAATTATGTATATACCAGATGTACTACGAATTTCACCTAAGTCGGTCCGATTTATCTCACCTCTCCAGATAAACACATCCTAGTACTTGTAATTTGCAGTTCATGTATATAGTTGTATACTGATATGCTTTAAAGACTGTTTATATTGCTTTCATTCACAGATGCACATTCAAGTTAGATTGACTGTAGTATGGAATTATTGATGCACGGTAGTATGATACAGTATAAATAGAATGAGCAAATATAAAAATTTATAATAAAGTTTAATTTAGTCGCCGACCTTCGTCATGAAATTATCAACAGATGACTAAAAAGTGACTTCTTTTTTCTTTTTGTAAATCTAGATTCTACTCTACCATAGTGCATACAAATACTATACATAATTGAAATGCATGAATATAAATACACACCACTTCCGTGTTCAGTAGTAAACAAGGCGAAATTAGAGAAGACCCGTGGTGGCATGCGGGTAACGTAGGCGAGTTTTATAAAACAATTATAACTTGAAATTTTT